TGTGGGCGGTCAATGTCCAACGCAATCATGAGTTATAATTCAGGAAGTAAAGTTGAAGCCATCAAAAAGATTATTTTAAGTTTAAAAAAAAATGTATACTATGATGAATGGGAACACTATTCATGGAAAGCGATTCCAACCCTCGGTGAGCAAGTTGACTTAGAAACTCTACTGCTTTCAAACTTTCTTCTTCATAAACATTGTGATCTATAATGCGCGCAAGCGCAAACGATGAATTTATTTTATTGACAGTTCGTATTCGCATTGGTTAGTAGCCACCCAGTTTGAGTAAAGGCTTCGCATAAGATCAACAAAAGAATGTTGCGCAACGAGTATTATAAAGACGACATAATTTACATTACATATTTGACGCGAAACGTTTTGAGCTTACTCGGAGTATGGCCGTCTTATAGGAAAAAATCAACCCTCGAGAAAATTTGGAAATACTTCTTAATCTCGATCTGTTACATTCTCCTCTGTTCTGTGCTGATACCTGGTACTCTTTTTTGGTTGGTCGAGAAGAGACCACGCGTCAGGATCCGAACAATACCTCTGCTTCTTTTTGGCTTCATAGCCTGTGGTAAATATAGCAATTTGGTATTCCATGAGAAAAACATAAAACGCTGTTTGCAACACATCGAGGAAGATTATAAAGTTGTTACCAACACGAAAGCCCGGAACACGATGATCAAATCTGCAAAAATTGGAAGACGTCTGGTTACACTTTGTGCGATTTTCATGTACGCCAGTGGGCTCTCTTTTCGACTGATCTTGCCATTTGCCAAAGGAAAAATCATAACTCCACAAAATGTTACGATCAGACCTCTGCCTTGCCCGGCTTACTTCATTTTCTTCGATGCACAAGTCAGCCCCACTTACGAGCTGATCTTTGCAATGCAAATATTATCCGGGATAATCACTTATTCGATAACAACAGGTTTATGTGGTCTTGCGGCGGTCTTCGTGATGCACATGTGTGGCCAGTTAAAAATCTTGATGAGTTTGATGAGAAATTTTGTCAAGGAGAAATGGCTAGAGAAACGGGAAGTGAACAGGAAGTTGGCAATAATGGTTGAACATCAAATAAGAATTCAAAGGTAAGAGTATTGGAGAGCTTTAGTTTTATTAAAATTATGTACATGCAGTGACTAAACGGTTGTAACAAGTAATTATTTATTGATCGGTATTTAACATCATATTCGTACAGACAATTCCAATTTCTCATTTTCTGAATGTATTGATTCGGTACCGTCAACATTTCAGTTTTTTGCAATTGGTAGAGAATACTCTACAACAAGCGTGTCTAATAGAATTGACGGGGTGTACGATGAATGCCTGCATTCTAGGATATTTTATAATAATAGTTCGTAATTTATAATATATTCGGGAGTTTCAATAACAAAACAAAAAGAAGTAATATTTCCAGCAATAATATAATATTTATAGGAATGGGAAAATAGCAATTCATTAGCTATGAGCTCTTACTTTACAGCACTTATGTCCATGTTGATAAACATGTTTATGTTTTGTTACACTGGTGAACAACTTACTGTTCAGGTATGTCTGGTCAAACCTTTTCCTCGAAAGATGATATCGTACTTCGATGATATATGTAGCAATTATTTTTACACTAAGTATAAGCATATTCGGGCTTATGACGGTCAAAGCTAGATTTTTTTTGCCTAAATAATTCTCAGTGGATTATCTATATCCTATATATGTACATGCATATATATCATATTTTTGTAGTTATTCACACTGCGCGCCGAAATTTTTCCGGACTTTATCTAACGCAATTAAACTACTGCAATAATGTTACAAGGCCTTTAATGCCTCGGTGGTCTAATGGCTTAGGACGTTCGTATGGAACATAAGAGATCCGGGTTCAAGTCCCGGCCGAGGTAATATTTTTCGCAATAAATTTATATTAAGCACATTGTCAATTTAATTTAACTTGTGATATTATTGCAGTAGTTTAATTGCATTAGATAAAGTCCGAAAAAATTTTGGCGTGCAGTTTGAATAACTTCAAAAATATGATATATATGTATGTACATATATAGGATATAGATAATTCACTGGGTATTATTTAGGCGAAATGATCTAGCTTTGACCGTCATAGACCCGAATATGCTTATATTTATAGATTATACCTAGTATTTAATTTTTTGTCGGTCCGAATAAAATCTATTAATTAGTATTAATTATTTTTATAGTATACGTATAATTATATATCAGATGTAGCAGTGATGTGTAATTCGTAGCACGCCGGTTGATAGTTCAAAAATATAAAATTATATTCTTTATTTTATACAAATTTAAAATGCACTTCAGACGCATTAAACAATTTTTTTTAAATTTATGTTCAAAAATGCACTTTATATTTAATATTTATATTTAAATAAATATGTTTTGTAAAATATTTGATATTTATAAATCATTTTGATTTTTTATTTTCTTATTGATGAAATAAAATTCAAAATGAGTTTTGGTACTTATTTTGACACGAAGCGTATAGTCGTGTAAAACAATTATTAAAATAAATATCTTTAATAAGTAAATAGATAAAAAAAATTTTATCTTAATATCACTATAAAAAAATTTTATATACATATATGAATATATACGCACCGAAATAGACTTCATACAGTTCGTGAGATATACAATATGAAAATGTTCCTCAGTTTAAAGAAGATTGTACATTACTGCTATATAGTATATATATAATAACATATACAGTTTATAATATGATGCTTTATTATTTTTACAAGGCAATACTTGTGAGAAGAAGTTGTTAGAAATATTTCTATAATATTTATCAGCAATGCTTAAATCCACCAAAATTTACTACACATACTTTATAATATTAATAACAGGCTGAGGAAGTAGCTAGAACATCTTGCATGGTCGAGTGGTATCGTCTTCCAAATAAGGATGCGCGTGGGATCGTATTGGTGATAATCATGTCGAATTTGCCCACCAAGATTACTGCTGGAAACATTATGGATCTATCATTAAAAACATACGGCGATGTAAGTATACACGTTTAAAAGCATTCACTCATTTTTACATGAATCAATAAGAATTGTAGCAATATTACAATTAAATACATTATTCAATAATTATAATTATCGTCAAAATATAATAGACGTAAATTAAATACAATATTTCTTAATTGTGTATTTACCTAAAAAGTCCTACATTCGTTGAATAAACATTAGTTGAATAAAAATAAAGTCATGAAGAAGTAATAATAATAAGAAAATAACTACAAGGTTATGCTAATTTTTCAGGTAATCAAAGCGGCTGTGACATATTTTAACATGCTTATGAAAACAATTAAATGAATATTTCTATCTTGTATCTTTTTCTTCTTTCTGGAACTATGATTAGAACTCATTATAATGGTAATATCGTATCGTAAAGAGAATTTTATAGACATGTCAAATGTAAAACTTAGTATAATGTATATTTACAGAAGAAATTTTTGTTTCTCAGTTCGGCGGAATATACATTAAATTTTCATAGAACAGTTTAATAATTAATTAAATTATCTAATAACTATTTTATTTTTATATAAATTGATATAAATCTAACCTTTACTTCATTCCAAAGTAAATTACACCACTGAGTAGAAACCGTTATCGCTCAGCGACAAACAGCAAGTGTGCGAAACTATGCGTTTTGTGCGTGCATCATTACAAATTTACACATCATTACAAACTTAAATGGAGAAATAATATGTAATATAATATTGATTTTGATTTAGAATTATAGATAACAAATTTACAAGATTAGTAAGCAAATTATTAAAATTTTTTTGTCCAATTATTGCTTTTATGGATTGTATATATCTAGAGATATATGCAGAAATGTAATAATTTTTTATTATACTTCATCTCTCAAGTAATTTTCATACTGTAAAAACATATTGGAATATTGCATTTTAATACGACTTGGGAACGCCAAGTTTTATCTTCACTATAATCCATTCATTTTAGTCACTTTTAGTCGGTTTTATATATCTTAGAATTAGAGGAGATTTTTGCAAATAAGCCTTTTCGAGAACCTATTTAAGAGAGAAATATTTAGCTAATTGTGTTGATATCATATCCGTTTTTGAAAAGTTAATTATTAAATAATTAAATTTAAATAGTTTATAAAAAAGTATTTTTTTTATTTCAGGAAGGACGTAATTTTGATATTTTTTAACATACTTATATTTATTTTTTTAAAAAAGTTCTTTAGGAGTAACATTTTATAAAGAGCACTGTAAAGTTTTCTACATGCAATATATATTTTAATAAAAAAAAGTGATTTTAATATGAGGAACAAAAAGAATTGTTTGATATATAGTCGAATGATAAATATAATTATATGTCAACGTTTGCTTTGCCAAGTTAACTTTTATGCTTTGCTTATACATTACTATTCTCGGTATAAGTTTGCAAAATGTTTACCTCTTCATAACTTCCCGTAGAAAATGTTCTGTTCCTTACAATAAGGGAAAATCGTAAATAAATTTTTACGCAACTTCTCTTGCACGCAATCTCTTTGAAAGTTTCTATACATTTGTGAAATCGTAAATAAACTTGTACGCAACCTGCCTTGCACGTAATTTCTTTGAAAGTTTCTATATATTTGTTAACCATCCGCTTGACGCAGTTTTTCAATTCCTTTGATACGCAGGCGCACATGAATTATGAGCTATGTTGCGTTCAGCGTAGGGTACTGCTCGTCACTGCGATCAGTGGCGAATAGACGCATTTTGCGTCTGTATCGTGCATTACAAAAGTGTTTTCAAAAGTGTGCTATTATAACTATACTATGAAGCGAAAAACCTTCATATAAGAAATTGTAAAATTAATCAGTCTTTTAAAATGTTTGCTAACAAGTATTACGAACACGACATAGAGAATGCTTTCGCGATGAATCGCTTCTTCTTTCGTTTATTAGGCATATGGCCATTTACACGCGCAAATTTTTTTCTTCTGGAGCTGATGGAGACGGTCGCACTAATCCTCACGTGTTTTACGTTCCTCTTCTGCGAATTAATCCCGACTATGCTCTATGTATTTTTGGTGTTGACAGACTTTGGTTTGAGGATAAAAGTTATGGGCAGCGGACTATTCACGTTAATAGAAATACTCAAGTACAGTTGTACTCTGCTATACAAGAATCAAGTGCGAAACTGTTTAAAATTCGTTGATGAGGACTGGCGAAACGTTATCAATCCGAGTGATCGTATCTCGATGATCGACAGAGTCAGAACTAGCAAACGTCTCATTATGATGTGTGCCATATTCGTGTATTTAACTGGCATGGCTGTCCGAATAATAGTACCTCTGTCAATAGGGAAGATTATTACTTCTGAAAATATCACTATTAGACCACTACCTCACGTTGCTTATCTTGTTATATTTGATGTGCAGCGTAGTCCAGTTTACGAGATCGTATATTTCATACAATTTCTAGCAGGATTTATAAAGTACACGATTTCGATTACAACTTTTAGTTTTATGACACTTTGCGCGATGCACTTTTGTGGGCAGTCTGACATACTTGTAACGTTGATGAACGATTTCGTGAACGAGAATCAATCGAAAGACATGAACAAGAGATTGGCTATTGTCGTGGAGCGTCAAATCAGAATAAGAAAGTGAGTCTTTCCTTGCAATAATGAAATTCATTCGTTAATTCTTTAATGTATTCACATTAACAATTATGTTAGAGCTTAATACGCAATAGTACGTTTTCGCAAAATGAGCAACGTATTATCCAGTTACTAGTAATTTTCATTAAAAACAATTTTCATAGTTCTCACAATATATTTTAGTTTCTTACAATTGGTGCAAAATACCATTCAGTATACAAGTTTAATACAAATCATGGGATCTACAGTGTTGATATGCTTCGTAGAATATTACACTATCATGGTGCGCAGAAATATTTATTTAACAATAAATTTCAAAGAAATTATAAGTTTAGATAAATGATAAAAAATGTAATACGTTACAGATCTGTATAAAAAATTAATAAAAGTTTATTTTCCAGGAATGGGAAAATCATAATGTTATTCGTATGTGTACATATATCAGTGGACTAATAATGTTATCATACAACATATTTATTTACTGTTACATGGGCGAGCAAATCATCGAACAGGTATATGTTGTTGAATTATTTTTCATTGTCGACGACAGTAAAATATAACAAATGTAACGAACATCAAAGTAGGACATTAGAAAAAAATTATTTTTTTTTGTTTACATCGCTTGATTGATAAAAACTAGGGAGAAAAAGTATCATTAACAACACGCACTCTGGAATGGTACCGTCTTGAAGATGCAACAGCACGAGCATTGATTTTACTTATAACTATTTCCGAAAACCCATTAAAACTTAAAGCAGGAAATTTCATAGATATTTCTCTAAGAACGTTTGGTAACGTAAGTAATACAGATATTTTATTAAATTTATTTAATAATAAAATTAATATCATGAAAATGATTTCTGAGGCAAGGAGAAGAGCGTATCTTAATAAAGATATGCATCTATTTTAGGTTGCTAAGATGACCGTGACATATTTAAATATTCTTCGATCAGTTGATCACTGAGTTTCAAGAATTAATTGAAAATGTATGGATAGCAATAGAATAGTAATACTACACATTTGTACCCATCAAATCGAAGTAACAGTATACTTAAACAGAGTGCTTTTCTTTATCAAATATCTTTATTTGAAATTAAACATATTGAAAACGTTTACAAATGTTTATATTCGGACCTTATTGTATAATTCTTGATTTACAATAATTCTTTATTCAATTTCTGATAGATATGTATGTAAAATAATATGAAAATGTCTAACCTAAAAGTAAAAGATTTTATGAGATTCATTTAAAAATGTAAGTAAGAACTATCTATTAGATATCTGATGTTATATTGACAGAAAAGACTGATTTTGATAATTAGAAGGAAATTGTTTGTGCTTTTTATGTACAATACTTTATAGTTATTTATTTTAACGTATAAAATTGTTTAATTTTTTTATCTAATTAAAATGTCCAATCTTTGTATGCTCCAAGTCAAAATCAGGACATAAGAGATATACATACTTCTTAATAATGTCTTATCTCATGTACAATAATAAGTATATTAAATTATAAAGCCTAAGTTGCTCCGGCAAAAAATTAATATACATATTGGCATTATTAATTTTTACCATCATTATTGATAAACGTGACTGAAAGAAAGAAATGTTATTTTATTATTATTCCAATTTTTTATACATAGAAGATTTTGGTTCTGTATCTCTTTCTTCTCATTAAAAGTACGACTACGAACGCATTATATTGATAATATCTAATCATATATAGGTGTGCTCTGTCTTTGGTGTATGCATAACATACGTATGTAGAAGAATATCCATTTTTGTTTCTCAACATGAAGAAAGTAAACATTATAATTTTATAGAAAGTATTCTGAAACTAATTACATTATATATAATAGCTATATTATTTTATATAAATTTTATTATGAATCGGATTTTTATTCCGTTGTAAGATGAATTAGAACAGTGAAAAAAATTAAAAGATAAACATAGAATTTCATATTTATGAATAACGTATACATAAAATGTAGCTTTATATTCTCGATAACTTTTGCACGCGATTGTAATTAGCGAATAGATCAAAGTATCACATGATGTAACTATTATTGCATATAACTCGTACACATCAATTGCAATTATTGTAAGTCATTGTTCATTTTTCAAATCTACATTCTAAGCTACATTTCGTATCGATAATATCGCATTGTACTTAATATGAACATATGAAGAATGCAAAAATTTGATGAAATAAGCTGATCCTATATTAATGATAAGTCAATCGTAACTTTGCCCGTGACGGCAAACCAATTGATTTACTTGCGACTAATGTAGGAGCAGCTTTAGATATTATAATTTAAATATATCTTTGATTATATAAATTGTCTTCTTTTAAGATATCAAGCAATATTACATTATTATGTAATAGAAATAAGCAGTATAGCAATATTATATATTTTTCGAAAACATGAACAAATTTCCACTTGATAATTCATAATCGGAGATTTGTTCTACGTAGCATCGAAATCTCCGAAACTTCAGAATAAACACGCTAGGAAATAATATTTTATATGGACAATTGTAACGTATATTATGTCTCAATGACGTATAGATTTAAATTAAAGAAATTATTAAATATTAATATATATGTATATAAGAGATAAAAATACTATTTGGAATATAGTCGCGGGATAAATCCAGTCACTTTACATTATACTCATCCAAGTCAACTCCTACGTTTTGCTTATACACTGTTATACACTAGTATTATCGATAAGTTTTTATTACAAAAGTTTATTCCTTCATATCTTCCCGTAGAAAATCTTCTGTTTCTTACAATAAAGGAAAATCGTAAATAAACTTGCACGCAACCCCTTTGAAAGTTTCTATTATTCGTTAACCATCCGTTTGACGTGGCTTTTCAGTTATCTTTATACGCAAGCGCACATGAAATATGAGTTATATTCTGCTCAGCGAAGAACACTACGAACAGTGCCGAATAGACACGTTTCGTGTGTGTATCGTGCTTTACAAAAGTGTTCTCATGATACAAGATATCATACTATGAAGTGGAAAGACTTCATATAATAAATTGTAGATTTAATTGGTTTCTCAAGATGTTTGCTAACAAGTATTACGAACGTGACATAGAAAATGCTTTCGCAATGAATCGCTTCTTCTTTCGTTTATTAGGCATATGGCCATTTACACACACAAATTCTTTTCTTTTGGAACTGATGGAGACTAACGCACTGATCCTAGCATGTTTCACGTTTCTCTTCTGCGAACTAATCCCGACCATGCTTTATGTATTTATGGTGCTGACAGACTTTCGTTTAAGGGTGAAAGTTATGGCCAGCGGACTATACACGTTAATAGAAATCATCAAGTATAGTTGTACCCTGCTTTACAAGAATGAGGTGCGAAACTGTCTAAAATTCGTTGAAGAAGACTGGCGAAACGTTATAAATCCAAGCGATCGCATCTCAATGATCGATAGAGTCAGAACTAGCAAACGTCTGATTATGATGTGTGCTATATTCATGTACTTCAGTGGCATGGGTTTTCGAATAATAATACCTCTGTCAACAGGAAAGATCATTACTTCTGAAAATATCACTATCAGACCATTACCTCACGTTGCCTATCTCGTTATTCTTGACGTGCAAAGTAGTCCAGTTTACGAAATCGTGTATTTCATACAATTTCTATCAGGGCTTATAAAGTATACGATTACTGTAACAACATTTGGTTTTATGACACTTTGCGCGATGCATTTCTGCGCGCAGTCAGACATACTTGTGACTTTAATGAACGATTTCGTGAACGAGAATCAACCTGAAAACTTGAACAAGAGATTGGCTATTGTCGTGGAGCGGCAAATCAGAATAAGAAAGTGAGTCTTTCTTTGCGTACAATAATGAGATTCGTTCGTTAATTTTTTACTGTAAATCTACTCTCTAAATAGTCTAAATATGAATCAGTTGATAGTCACTAATTACTCAGTGGCATACTTTGCATTGATAATCAGTGAAGTTCAACTAAAAAAGGAAGAATGTTTGAGCATTATATAACTGAAATACTAATATTTGCACGTTAATTTCAATCTTCCAATATTCATTGAATTTAAGCACTAAATCAAGGTTAATTAAATCACCCAATAAAGATTAGCTAGATTAGGGAGCTCACATTTAATTCACTGATTACCAGTGGCATATTTGGCACTGATATCAGCGATTATCCACTGATTCAGATTTAGAGAGTAACGTATTTACACTGACAACTATGTTAGAGTTTAATAAACTATAGTATGTTTATGCAAAATGATATTACCTATCATCAAAGATACATAGGATTAGGTACTAATTTTTGTTAAAAACAATTTTCATAATTTTCTCGTAATATATTTTAGTTTCTTACAATTGGTACAGAGTACTATTCAGTATACAAGTTTAATACAAATCATGGGATCTACGGTGATGATATGCTTAGTAGGATATTACGTTATCATGGTGCGCAAAAGTATTTACATAACAATAAATTTCAAGGAAAATATATAAGCTTAGATAAATAATAAAAGATATATTATGTCATAATTCCGTGTTCTATAAAATCTAATAAAAGTTCTATTTACAGGAATGGGAAAAACATAATGTTGTTAGTATTTGCGCATATATTAGTGGACTAATAATGTTGTGGTACATCATATTTATCTACTGCTACATGGGCGAGCAAATCATTGAGCAGGTATACGCTGTTGAAGTATTTTTTATCGTCAATGATAGTAAAATATATAATAGTAAATTTAGCAAACAAGTGGAATGTCAGAGGAATGTTATTTTTTTTTGTTTATATCACTGACACGTTTGTACTTAATTGATAAAAATCAGGGAGAAAAGGTATCATTAACAACACGCACTTTGGAATGGTACCGTCTTGAAGACGCAACAGCACGAGCATTGATTTTACTTATAACTATTTCCGAAAACCCAATAAAACTTAAAGCAGGAAATTTTATAGATATTTCCCTCAGAACGTTTGGCAACGTAAGTAACACAGCTATTGTTTCAAATTTATTTAATAACAAAGTTAAAATCATGAAAATCATATTTCTGCGGAAAGGAAGAGCGTATTTTAATATACAGATATGCATTTTAGGTTGCTAAGATGTCCATGACATATTTAAATCTTCTTCGATCAGTTGTCTAAATTTTAAGAATTAATCGGAAGAGTATGAATAGCAGAAGAACAGTAATAATAAACATTTGTTACCATGAAATGGAAGTAATAGCTTACTTAACACAGCGCTTTTATTTTTAAAATATCTTTGATTGAAATGAAACTTATTGGAAATGTTTACGAATGTTCATATTCAGACTTCATAATATAATTCTTGAATTATTCTTTATTCAATTTCTGATGCATATGTATAAAATAATATAAAAAAATATCTAGATAAAAGATATTATGAGATTCATAAATATATCATCAAAAAATCATCAATAAATGTCTATTAGATATTTGATATTATATTAAGATAAAAAAGGCTGGTCTTCATAATAAGAGGAAAATTATTTGTGCTTTTCACTTTATGACAGGGAATGGAAAGTTACTTTTTAAAAGTAACAAGTTACAGTTACTCGTTACCGAGTAGGAAAAGTAACAAGTTACCGTTACTAGTTACC